ATCCAACGACCAACACGTAGGATATAAACTGTGCAATAGTTTCGCTTTACAAACCTTTACGATTTAGTATGCACTTTATGGTAGACTGTAGAATTGTTACACTCGTATAACTGGGCCTTATGTATGCGCTTATACTACACAAGTTCGCACGATTACAATATACAGTTCTGAGAATACATCTTCTCATTAAGTTTTTTAGAAAGTTACATTCGAAGTTAGTGTAAAGATGTAGAATCGATTGGGCATTTACGTCAATAGGTAAGAAAAGTTGTATGAGTTTGTAAGTAAAGATCTTAGCGAAAAATGTTTATGAGACAAATGCTTTATATACTTTTTGTTATTATTTTCTTCTGAAACAAACTAATTCATTCAAATCCTTATTCCAAAACCCTATTAAAATTACAATAAAACCCGAATCGAACAAGATCTAGTAAAAGTTACACTAAGGAGCTCTTTAAAAATGTAATTGGTTTGATTAAGAAATACTACTCTTAGAAGTGAATTAATGCCAATTACTTCAGCATAGAAATATATTACTTACAATATGCTCGATAGATTTTCTTTCAACATAATTGGATTTTTAATTTTTATGATATTTTTGAAAATGATTATCAGTCATATTTCTTTCTGCAGGAAGGTGTTGAGGCAGCCCGAGAGTCAGTAGAGATATAGCCGAGGCGGTGAGTTTATTAAATTTGACGTTTTTCTTTCTTTATTTTTTTTTCAAATATCAGAAAAATTAAAATTTAAAGAAATCTTTAGGCTATATAGACACTACTTAAAAAAAATAGAAAAGAACCTCTTAAAAAAATGTTAAAAATCAATGAATTCATTTCATTCGTTAAAAATATTAAACTTTTTTCAACGCTTAAGTATAATAATTCCAAAACACTTAGTATTTTTCCTCTATCTTAATAAATCGCCTAGATATGGGTGTCAAAATACCCGTAATTTCATACAAAAACAACATATGAAGAGGAAAACCATATTCAGTTCCAAGGACCTGACCACTCTGGAGTGGCCTGTGGCATTTATTTTATTGATCAATTTTGAGAAACTACATATCTTGAAATGTAATACATCGATAACAAAAGTTTATTATTGAAAATAGTGAACCAAACAGTCATCCGTGTAATTTCAATGTCATTTTCTTACAGTGCTTTTCAGTTTCGAATTAAACTCGAAATATCATGCACAACAAATAAATCTGGTCAAAAATATTTTTCCCAACGCAATGGCGAAAATCTATAGTAATTCCAATATTAAAACCAAATAAAAATAAACAAGACCTTGAAAGCTATAGGCCAATATCCTTGACGTGTACAATGTGTAAACTGATGGAATCAATCATCAATAAACGGCTCATATGGTATCTTGAACACAAGAAATACTTTCATAAAAATCAAGCAGGTTTTCGGCGTAATTATTCGACAGCAGATCACCTGGTTAATACTACAAATGAAATACTTCCAGCGTTCGCAGAAAACATGAACCTGATTGGAATCAGCCTAGACATAGAAAAAGCATACGATATGCAGTCTGCTATATCCCAACTAGAAGAATGGGGGAGGGAAACCGGTTTCAGATTTTCTGCTACCAAATCACAGGCTATCTCCACCTACTTCTTGGCATACATCGACCAACATGTGAGGTATGTGAAAATGCTAATCTGACAGTTGAACACATATTCCAGTGCAAAAAGTTCCGGAAACAGCAAATCGAACTCCAAATTGAGACAAGGCACCGTACAAGGAAAACACTGGTATTGAAAAAACGCTGAAGTACATCCGAAAAACAAAATTGGTAAGTTATATTTAAGAAGAACGATCGTCGCTAATGACCTTGGCAGTCGATGCGACGTTAAATAACAGCAAATAAAAAATAAAAAATAAAATAAAAGAATTTTGTGTCATCTTTTAATTCTGTACTATATGCAAACTTGTTGCTGAGTAGAATCATTCATTTTTGCATGATGGCAGTTTTGATGTTCATCATACTGTCATTGTAGGTTGAACACAGGCCGATGTAAAAACATTTACATCTCTTAATATCACTAAAATTATTTGTTTTCACCAAAAATGACTGAAATAAATTATTGCGAAAATTCTCGAAATTGGGGCGTTTTCAATCTGGAGGTCGACAAACTTTGTTTATTTAATTAGGTATTGAAAACTCGTAAATACCCATTTTCTTTCCACTTATATCGTATGATAATTAATTTGAGCACAAAGTCGAGAAAAAAGTGGCCTTCAAAAATATTTAGCGGTTTTGCGTGACCTACACCTGCAAGCTGTCAAAAAAATTAGGTTATATAGGCCAAATGCCCCAATATTTTTGTAGGACACCTTTTTTTTTTTTTATCGGTTTTGCGATGAAATCATCTTACGATCCAAGCGGAAAGCAAATGGATATTTACGAATATTTAGAATCTAATCAAATAGACAAATTTTGCCGACCTCCAGATTGAAAACGTCCCAATTCCGAAAATTTTCTTAAATAAAGTATTTTTAGGTCACGATGAGATGAAGCTATTTACGAGGTTTCAGGCGGATGTTAATAATTTGATAAAAAGGGGTCTGTACCACGGAATAAAATAAATGTTTGTTGTATTCAAATTTACTTTAAAAAAAAAATGCCGATTGTATCCAATTGTTCTCATGAAAACTTTATATTAGGATCACAAGCATTTAGTTTGTCCCTTTTAAATATGGATCAATTCCAAAAATAGAGATCTGGGTGAAAATTTCACAGTTTCATAATTATTTTGCATGAAACCCCTTTGAATAATCATTATTTTAAATTTAGTATAACACAAAAGAAATCTCAGGGTTTTCCCGAATAAACCTCAACTTAATTTTTATTGACATAAAGCCAATTAAATGAGAAATTTTTTCAAAAAGTGATGTATCTGTAGTACAGTTGGAAGATGATAAAAATTATTCAAATTGCGAATAATTTACGATTTTTTAAAAACAACTTAGCTTAGTTTAATCGCTCAAATATTCTCTTTAAATGGTTTTATCAAAACAAACTCCATTTAAAATAAATTTTGTCTAGTTTACTTTGAAGCAATTGTTAATTTTTTAAACTAGGAATTCTTAAATTTGTCGCCTCCTATATTTCACAAAAACGTGAACTACTAAAAAAAAACCCAAAACTTAAATTTCTTATTTTTCTGCTGAATATTGGACCATTGTTTATATGAACTTTTTTTTAGTTCTTGATGTCTACTATCACCACTTTAAATATTTCTCCTACTTACGAGACATCCTGTATATGACGTACACGTTACTATTATGACCCCAAATGAGCAAAATTAATTTTTCTTAAAAATCGAATTGATTTGGAGTTGTGCAATTATAGTATACTTGTAATTTTATTAATGAATTGCTGAAATGACGTCATGAGTATGCAAAATAATAAATCTCTACGATATGAAAAATTAATATTAAAAAAGTACTCTCTTACGATTAAATTTATATGAGTTAATGTTTCTTCATGCAACAGGCCTTATGATACTAATCAGTTCCATACAACCTAACATAATTTAATATAAAACAAAATAGGAAGTAACGTGTGTATAGATTTACTGACTAATTTTCAAAAAGAAAAGGTCATTTTCCATTCCTTAATATATTTTAATTTTTAAAAAAAATATAAGTGATGGCGACTCATGGCAGTTGTGACATAGCGGACATGCCAATCTATCCAACTCATTTGTTATTCTTACATAACTTCTTCAATTGTTTACTTCGCATATCGGTTGCTGATGTTTCATTCTTCGATTCCGCAATCTTTCAATTAAAGAGTATTAAGCCTAGAAAACATGTAACATATTTTACTCTATATTCATTAAAAAATTATATTGCTTAATATATAGATGCCTATCTATATATTAAGCATTATAATTTTTAATGAATATAGAGTAAAATAATATGTTACATGTTTTCTAGGCTTAATACTCAGTCTTATGCCTATAAGACAGCATTAATCATGAAAATAATGACAAAAGAATTTACACAACATATTTTGTTTGAAGTGTGATCCTCTAGACAGCACATACTTTAATTGATTTATTGATTTTGAACAAAAAACTTTAGGGAAATCTTGTTCTCAACCAAGAAGAGGAATGGTCAAATATATTCTTGAAAATAAAAAAATAAATCTATAATAATTTATTTTACCAAATATTATAGCATAACATGATAATATATAATTTATCAGTATGTAAATCTTCAAATTATAGTTTTAAATTGTTTTAAACATGCCTCTTATTTCACGTGGCTCTATTGATATTATTACTACCTTTGAAATTAGGCTACAGTTCATGGCTATGTAGTGGTTATAGAATTTCAAAACCATCTTTTACTAACTTTATATTTTTTAAAGGATCTATTTGCCCCCTTATGGAAATCTCAGGATAGTAAGTTATATACATATATGTATTTTTTATAGTCATAAAATAATATGAAAACACAATTTTATCTATAATAAATATAAATAATTAAATAAAGCGATTAGTTTTAAAACCCACTCAATCTATTTTTTTTTATTATATTTTTTTCTCTGCTAAATTTAATTCACTACATCATATCTAGTAAAGTTGTTGTGTACGTTTCGCTTTGAAGTTTCTTAATCCAGTGTAAACATGAGTTTAAACTCATGGGGCTTACACGATCCAATGTTTTTGGCCCCTTCTGTAAATTCGTTTATAACGGATTGATCTGATTTCGAAACCAATCGCTTCGTATATGACACAAAATTATTACTTTGGTCAAAATAAAAAAAATCTCGACTTTTGAGTTATAAATATCAATAAATTGTAAAATAGGATTTTGTCTAAAATCTCAAGCCAAAAAGCAAAAAGAAAAAAAGAAATCAATAAATTAGTGTGACCCGATTCACTCACAGTATTCGGACATATCAATCTCGTAAGCTGAGCACTATGGAATATACTGAGTAGAAAAAAAATTGTCTCACCTGTGAAAATAGAAATGTATTGACCGCTCCATATGCAATGTAGCTTTATAGTTTTTATTATAATGTGTTTACAAACTAATTGTTTTAATAACAACACGAATGAGAAATATTTTTATTTTAGCTTTTTTAAGCCAAGAGATGAAGAATGGTTCGATTTGAGATTAAATCTCGTATCGGAGAATGAATCGTAAATGAAACCCAAGCTTGACCGAAACTGGTCCATGGCGCGCCCCCAAACTAAAAATACTGGCCCCTCACCTTCTTCAGTTTTATGTCAAGTTCGGCTCATTCCTGGAAACTGTTATGTTCGCTTTACCTTATTTTAAGCTGTCTCGGTTATGAGAAGGTACTGTCAATGAAAATGGTTACTTTTATTATTTATAATAAGGTCTATCTCTGATTTAATGTAAGTGTCAGAGTTGAGTTAATAATAATTAAATACAAAAATAAATTTAAAGAAATGTGTATATATATAAAGCATTAAAGATGCCCAATAAAGGCGTACATATTAATAAACATGATTAAAAAGTATGTAACAGAAACAAGAAGAGAATTTCACAAAGCCGGCAATTGGTTAAACTTTCTCCTAAAATAAGCTTTAAGTCCTTATTAATTAAGTTGTGGTTTATTAAGGAAAAACTTTCACCTCAAGTAATGTAAAAAAATGATTTATTATCCTGTCACCAAATAGTTGCTCGTTTTTTCAGCAAAAATGACTACAATTAATAGTAGTTTTACATATTTATTTCTTGTTTTACATATTTACATTTTGATGAAAATAATTGAAGCAATCAACTAGCTACTTTATCTTAAACGTTAATTGTTGGACTAGAAACATTTAGTTTGCCACTTATAAATACGCATCAATTCCTATAATAGAGATCCGATTAAAAACATTCTCATAACCACTTTACATAAAAAATATTTGAGAAATCATTATTTTTAACTTTTTATTATATAAAAAGTATATTTAGGCAGTTATGTTTATTAAAATATATTTTAGGTCATGGAAAACATAAGATATAATCTTTGCAAAAATTTATTGTAGTAATTTTTGTAATTGTAATTTTAGTCATTGGTAACAAGGGTACTTTTAGATTACATAACAAAAACGCTGCAAATTATTTCACAATGGCTTATTATTCCCAAACAATTATACATCTACAAGTAACATTACCTTCCTAGCGACAAAGAAAAAGAAATAAAAGGTGATTCCAATTATTGGACTAAACATATTTTTTTAATCATTAGTAATTTGCTGTAAAAATTAGCATTACTTCAGTAACAGATTCAAAAATCAAAATCCAAAACAAACGATGTAATCTTTTCAGTAGAACATATAAAAAACATCTAGAGATTTTTCGTTTCTGCGCTACAATCGATAGCACTGCAGGTTTTTCGGTCGCCATCTTGAAAGGAAAAGGCGGATAGAAATGTCGATGAAGGAGGATCATCCTCGGATGACCTCTGATTTTAAATCAAAATTTGAAAAAAAATCGGTCCTGTGGTTTCAGAGAAAATGCGCGGACGGCGGACGGACAACAATTTTTTTAATCTTTTATCGAATTCTATGTATCTTGAAACGTAAAACCTCTCGGCCAATATTGCAAGCTCCCTAACAACAAGGAAGCTCCTAGTTCTTTTTGAAATCGTTCCGTTTGACCCAAACCCGAGGCTTTTCACAGTGAACTCTCTCTCTCACCGGAGGTATCCCGGAATTTCTCTTTTAGAAAAGGGATACATTTATCGTATATATTCTTTTCTTTTTCCACTTCGCCCGCCTGATCGAGGTCGTTGCTCTCAAAGCGAACTGTGCTATCTTTCCGGTCTTGGCGAATGTAACATTTTTTAAAAACGCGGGCTATTGTTTCAGACTTTCTGCCGCATTTATGACAGAAGGGCCCAACTTTTTGTCCTCTTGCTCCTTGGACTGGGTATAGTTGATGTTAAGTTTTAAGGCGCTAGACCATTCTGATCCCGAAATTTCTTGTTTCTCTCTTATATATTTATTGGCTTTCGGGGTCTTTTTAAAATGCGTAGCAATATTAAAGGCGGCATTTACATCTACTTGTCGTTGAGAAAGAGAATAAGAGGGAGCTAGTTAAGGGCGGACATGGCTAGGACGGCTTCCTCTGCTTTCCACCTCTAAGAGGCGTACATAACGTTGAACTCTAACGCTTCGGTGGCCCTGATCAACGCCCGATCTTTTCGCACATTCGGTGATTTCTGCTTCATAATCAAATGTGGACTGGAACAGAGCATTAGACAGTCGTTTGTCAATGGGCCACTGCTGCAAACGTGCCTCCCATTGATATCGGATCAGCTCCAATCCTCGATACATCCTCGGTGCATAAAACATCGCCGATGATGTATTAGCGGAGAACACGATAATAATCTTGATATTCCTGAGGATTTTATATCAATCCCTTCCAATATCTCAAGACGTATCTTTGTTAGTGACGCGGTCTGGAGATGGCGGTAAGTCCCGGGAACACATATTTGTTGATAACATTGATCTTTTGATAGTGGTAAGGTACTGAGCTTCCAGTGCTAAAGCTCCCAGATTCGAATCTCGGCTCATGGCAGAAAAATTATTTAATCTGTTTCATTGAACGTGAGGCTATCCTGGGGAGTAGACCCTCCTGGGGCAAACCCAACCTCTATAAAGGGTGTACCTTTAATTAAAATAATTAATTAAGGGGAAACACCTGGCTGTTGAGCGTGATCTCGGTTAAATCGTCTCCTTGTACAACCGTAGACCAAGAAACAGTGCTTTCTCTACATAGTACTGAACCCAAGACCCTTCATGGATTGTAGTGGGACAGGTCTTTTTTTTTTTTTTTTATGTTTCGATGACTTCTCCGTCCTCTAGGGAGATATTTGATTCCTGCAGCTCTCCTTTATCAATTATTAGATCCACGCTTTTCTTCGATTTTGCAGCCGGACCAATCTCGGCATATATTGGCCAGGCAATTCATTATTAATGTTTTTTAGAAATACACAATGAAAAATTGTCCAATGATTGGTCTAATTCCACATTATCTACAATATTATAGATAATCGTACACAGATAATCTACATTATTTGAACAATCTCCAATGAAGTCCTGAAATAGACCAAAACATTCCTATGCAATCTATATATCAAATGGTCCGACTTCAATGATATTTTTGTTAGGTAACCTAAGTCTATTTTATATGCTCTTTTATTATATGTTTACAACTTTATTCTGCAAATAAAGTTGTAAAAATATAATAGAGACTGTCAATAGTAAAAAAATCTTGATCTGATATTTTTGTTTTTGTATTATAGGAAAAAAAACATTGATCTTTAAATTTAAATTATATTCCTCATGCCTAAAATGCCAACTTTCTACACTATGACATCACATCTGATTATTGTCAAGATTATGAGAGGTGCGGAAAAAAAAAATTGTTATCATCAAAACTTTTTTTCGGGGAAGTATGTCATATACATAAATTTATAGGTGTTCATCCGTAATACTTTAGGAAATTTTTTATTATGTCAATTGTAGTCGTTTTAGTACAATGATCTTCAGATAAACAGTTTTTTCCCGCCGCCATTTTGTTTCAAAGTATGAGACTCCCCAAAGGCACTTCTCCAACACCAACTTAATATAGATACAAAGTTTCAACTTTTTAACTTTATTATGAGGAGCCGAAGAAAAGTGATATACTTTAAGAACAGGAAAACATTTTCTTATATGTGGAAATTTTGACGAAATTTATCCAGAATTTAATGGTATTGTTCCGCCTGTGAACCAACTCTATTTACCAAATTTTAGCTAATTTGGCCCTACAGAGGCCCCTGGGAGACACTAAACGTAACGGGAAAAATGTATATAACTGAAATCTCGTCGTGTTCTAGGGATTCTAAAACGGATAGAAAACACGGGGTTCCGCTTTCCACTTACGACTGCAGTGCATACAGTGCAAATGTCCATTATTTCTGAAGGAAAATAGACAATTGCATACATATACGGTTCTATTGTAAAACATAGTTTTAATTTTTAATAACAAATTAATTTAAATAAGATTTAATTTTATTAATTAAAACAATTGTTGAATTTTTTTTTTCATATTTAAAATAAAAAATAGTTTATTAATTCACTCGTTGACAATATGTACCGTTAAATAATGGAGGTTGTATTTTTCACGTCACAGCCTATCGATCGAGTGTTGAATAATTTGCTCCAACGTTTACCTTGAGCTTGGACAAACACCCTACTTAGAAGCTCTTTTCTTCGCATTGAAGTATATTAAAAAAAAAGGTGAACTCATATCTTCGTCAACCAAACATTCACTAGTAAGTCCTTGAATAAGGACAGACAAACCAAGCAATTACACAGACCAAACAATTCAGTGGAAAAATATATTCTAAGATACTTGTATTTAATTTTTAGAAGAAGTTCGAACTTGTTATTATTTAATTTTAACGATATTAATGAAGAAGGAAAAAAAATAAGGAAACTTTTACAAAAATGAAAACAACTCAACCTAACGTTAGACGCTCAGAAAAAGCTTGGGAAAAAATGAATATAATAACTCAGCATAAAAAAAATAAAGAAAATAGAAATTCAAATAATAATTACTGAGATATATAAAAAGAGTTTACATTTTAATTACTAACCAAAATTTAAGATCAATAATGCGGCTGAGTGAGTGGCACTGGGATCTCGTTGAGTTCTCCCTTTCCTTCCATGAGGGGGGAGAAAGGCTTGGCTCGGAGTTCTCCTGAGTGAATGGTATCAGTAAATATTGTATAAATGTACGCTCGTGTTTTTTTTCTTTGTTTTTCTTTATATACATTTACTTTTAGTACTGTTATTTCTCTGTATTATATATTATGTATGAATGTGCTATCTGAACAATATCATAAATGTCCTTAACTATGATTGTTTGTAATATTTCTCAATAAATAAGTTTAGGAAAAAACAATAAAAACTATCCAAAATGGAAGAAAAAGAAGCTAATAATAATTGTAAGATAAAAATAATCACTCAATTAATATTTTTAAGATATTTTATTTGAAAACGATATTTTTAAGCGCTCATTAATTAATCGATATACAGGGTGTCCCTTAAGTAGGTTTAATATTCCCTTTAAAAGGTTGATAGCAGACATCAAGATCTAAAAAAAAGTTCATAAAAATAATTGCCCGATTTCCAGAAGAAAAGTTAGAAATTTAAGATTAGTATTTTTTTAAGCGAGTCAACACGTTTTCTGTTGAATAGGAAGCGATTACTTAAAAAATATTTGGTTTAAGTAATCAACCATTGCTCCGTAGTAAACTATATAAAATTTACTATAAACCAAAGTCATTTTGACATAAAACTATGTAACGAGGGCTTGAGCGGACAAAAACGGTTACATACCATAAAAAAAAAATCTTAAATTATTTATTTATTTCCGTCATAGGAATTAATGCGTTTTTATAAGGGACAAACTTCATATTTCTTACTAAAATTTAGGTTTAAAATAAAGAAACCTACAGATTGCTTAAGTTATTTTCATGAAAACGTAAATATTAGGTCTAGAAACATTGAGTTCAAGTCACTTATAATCACACATCAATGCCTATGACATAAATCTGGGGTAAAAACTCAATTTCAAAACCACTTTATGAGGAAAATATTCTCAAAATCGTTATTTTTAAATTTTTTATTTTTTAAAATAAAATTTGTTTTTATTGCATTATCTTTATTACAATAAATCCCATAACATGAAAAAACAATAAATAAAATTTTACAACAATTAATTGTAACCAATATTGCTGAAAACACGGTAACTTTCAAGTGACTGGATAGAAAATCACTTCATTTCTTTTACTCAACTTGTGTTGAATCTCAAAATTTTTTCTAATGAACCTCAAGTTAATTAATATGGACTTGAGCTTATTAAACAAGAAAGTTTTTCTACGCGTGAGGTATTTGTAGTACAGTTGAAGAGTGATAAAAAAAAATCACAAATAATTTATAAATTTTTTTTAAATGTAACTTAACTGTGTTTGTCCGTTCAATAGCCCTCTTTGAATAGTTTTATGACAAACTCTACTTTGAGCTAAAGTAAGTTTTGCCTAGTTTACTATGGAGAAATGCTTGATTAGATAAATTAAATATTTTTTAAGTTATCCCTTCCTGTTCAACAAAAAACGTGATGCTTTAAAAACAAAAATCTTAAAAAAAAAAAAAAACATTTTACACTAAATATTCTTTTTGGAAAATATGTTTGTTAAAGAGCATTACATTAAGTACAACTGTTAATAACAATAATACAATTTATATATATGAAGTACAGCTTTGTGAAACTAGTAAACCAAATCAAAATCTGGATTTCGGTAAAAGTGAAGATGTGTACTTTTTGATAAAAAAAATATTAATATTTTGTATGTTAACAACGGAAAATATATAGTATATTTTATATACTATATATAAAGTATATTGTACTACTGAATACTACATTTTTTTTTAATATACAGTAAAACTTTATTTATTTTTAAGAAATAAAAACAAATAATCTTTTTTGTTTTACAGCAGGGAAAGATGCCACCTGTGATGAATCCAAAAGTACCCATCATCTGGGTTCTAGGTAATTTTATCCATCTATCTGACTTTTCCTTTGTGTTCATTCATTTTATTTTATTTATTTAATTGTTTGTTGGTATGAACATTTTTTATATTGTTACCTTAATAACCAAGAATGGAAACATTAAAATATAATTTTATTGATTGACTTGGAGCCACGTTTTTTACGGATATGATAAGTGCTGTAGTTGCACTTGAAAAGGTCCAAATTAGTTTTGTTATCGCAGCACTTCTCAAAATAGAGTACTAGCTAAGATTAGATTCCGAAACGGGTTAAGTGGATATTATTTCATCATTCCTCATTTTTAAAATAAAAATAAATGTATAATGCAATTTCCTATATTATGACGTTATTTAAAATAATAAAAAATGAATCTGAAAAGCTACAACAATGTTTCATGTTTTTTCTTCTCATAGTTGTTTTCTAAACAAAATCTATTAACTATTGGGATTCACAAGAGTTATTAATTTAAAAGATCCCATGGCCATCTTCTATTCAGCCGCCTTGAAGGTTGTCGGGAATAGTTTGAGATGATCACTTAAGTACTCGTGAGCTAGGGTGGACTAGATGTTTACGATTAAAGGAATTACATCTATATCGGGCCAAATCTGCTACCAACAGAATGTTGATGATGATGTTTTCATGTATAACTTTATTTGTAACACAATTGCGAACATTTTTTAGTAGAAACATATGAACAATTTTTAGTTGTGTAAGAATTCCAAATAAGATGCTTGATAAGATGTAGTAGTATTTTGCTTGTCTGTGTGATAACAGGTATATTATAAATAATTTTATGGGAATCGTTGGTATTTATTTTAATTCTCTAGTTTTTATTATTCATTAATCGCTACTAAGTGTAACTACAGGATTTGGGATGTAATAGATGGACCGTTAACAACACATGTGTCGTCAGTGTAAGTAGTGAGAATAGTACTGTAGGATGGGTTGGGATATCATATTCATAAATCGCAGAGATAATAGGTCCTAAGACAGCTTGCGAGATACCAGCGGTTTGGGAAAGCAGGATGAATATGTAAACTTATGATCTACTTTACGGATTATGACAATGAGGCTGAAACACATTGATAGGAAATTTATAGAAGGAAAGGGGTTCACTAATTTGCTTTTAGGTTTTAATGATTACAAGATTGTGAAAAATAAAAATAAGTGTAACTATGCTTAAAGGTGGCCCTGGCTCCGGTAAAGGCACTCAGTGCGACAAGATCGTCGAGAAGTACGGCTTTACCCACATCTCCACCGGGGACCTCCTCAGGCACGAAGTAGCCTCCAAGTCCGATAGGGGGCTGGCGCTGGAGGCGACCATGAAGGAAGGTCTCTTAGTAACCAGTGTGAGTATATATCTTATCGTTATATAAATAAGTGCACGGAAAAAAAGTTCAGTACATTTTTCTCATTTGTTTGTCAACAGATTTACCTACTACTACTTTCCATCCATAAACAAATTGTTTGAACCGCAGCGCAGGAAATTGTCTTTTTTGGGGGGGGGAGGGAGGGAGGGGTCCTCCCCTTCCTTGCCTTTAAGGCTATAGGGGGTTTTCCCGGGCCAGAGGATGTGGGCGGGGTTTTAAAAGACTCTCCCGGCACCGGGAAGCGAACTCATGACTTTTAAATCCATTGTTTCATATATCAGGTTGCCGGGCACACACGTTAGCCCGTTCGGCCACCTCGCCCAAATTGTCTTAACTTACTAACTGAGGAAGCCCATTTTCAGAATTTTGAATTTCCCTCCAAAAGTTGATCACCCTAAGGCTTTATTTTCACTTGTAATTTCGTTATTGGATCCTATACTGAAAACTTTGGCATTCCCGCATCAAGTTTTGACCAACAATCAGTAAACGTTAGAGATCTATTAATGAAAGTAACTTGTGTATTCGTTCATTCTTCTCATTCCTTTGTCGCTATACTGCATTTTCTTTTTATCTACTTTGTTTCAAATATATCATTATCATATCTTTTTCTAATGGTAACCAAATAAGTATTATACAACGCCAAGAACTATCAGACATTAGTTTAATATTTTTCCACCTAGTATCACTATAAAACAGTGATCCCTTCCTTACGTTCCTCTACTTTACCTCAATGACCATCCCATCCATTTTTTCCCTACAGTCAAAAACCTAGGAGTAACCTTTGACCAGAACCTCTCCTGGAATAATCATATCTCCCAGATTACCCGAAAATCCATAACTGCCCTTAAACAACTCCTAAGATTCCGTGATTGTATTCCTCTAAAAACCAGACAGCTCCTTGTAACCTCCCTTGTATTCCCCCACTTCGACTACGGCTGCTTGGTGTATGGAGGGCGATCTGCCAGGCTGGAAATGAGACTAAAAAGACTCATGAATTGTTTCATAAGATACATTTTCGGGATCCCCAGGCGTTCACATGTTTCACTATGGTACACCGAGTTGAAGTGGGTTTATCCTACTTCCCGACGACAATTCCTTCTTGGTGTTTTCCTTTTCCATGTCATCAGAACCAAAAATCCTCCCTACATCCTGGAACTCCTTACTCTGCGCTCCTCTATCCACTATCTCAATACTAGGTCTCAACCTATAGACTTATATATTCCTTCCCATAAAACTTCCTCCTTCAGCAAATCCTTCGTCATTCGTGCTGATTCCTTATGGAACTCACTTCCTACCTCCATGCGTCAATCCTCATCCACAAATTCCTTCAAACAACTCCTGTTCCAACACCTACTCCACATTCAAAGTTTCCCTAACATGTAAAATTACTTGCATCTATACAATGTTTAATTTCAATCCATTGCACAATTGAAATGACAATTAACAATAAATTAGTTGGTATTTTTATTATGTCAGACTAAGATACATAAATTTGTAACTCTGTCATTATTCTTAGAGGACAATAGTCCCAGAATAAAATTATTTTTTCATTTAATTTTATTTCATTTCATAAAATAGTTTAATTAAAATTAGTCCATAAGCTCCCTTTGTTAGTTCCAATATGTTCTAAAAGTTATGCGATAATACGTAGGAGTGGCCTCATATAAAAGACGGACATCTGTCATTTTTATAAAAGTTGGATCAAGTTAAAAAAATCAATAGTTTTGTTTTTTAAATTGGCTTTTTCTCAACCATTTAATAATGACACATGTCCGTCTGATGTGGTACCATTCAAATATGAACACAAGCCAGGTTTAAAATAATGGTCACAAGCGAATTCTCTTAGCTTGTGTATTTAATTATGTAATTAAGAGGATCCTCTTAAAACTAAAGAATCACTTCGATTCATTATTTTTAGCCTCGAAAACGTTTGTAATGAAGTTCCTCCTCATAATTTTTGATATTTATTCTAAAACGCTAGTTCAGATAAAACTATAGTTCAGTAGATGTCAAAAAGCTTTCTTTTTTCCCTAAATGAAGTTTTCATTTAATAAACTGGGCGCACCCAAGATTTTCTTGAAACGTTCCATAATACAATACAATGGAGGTAGATCCACTTAAAGTTTTTACTGTGTCCATCTGATTGCCGTAACGTAATTAGAACCTAAATACACGCAATAAGAAGCTAATATGACATGGCACCAAAACCAGCCTAGGGAGCCAATACTTCTTTAGCCATCGATATTTAAAACTCCCTCTGCTTGTATAATTGTCTCATTTAATGAGTACAAATGTTGCCAACGTATTATTGCGAACAGGTTGACATAACGTTTGGCATGCGGTTTTATGTTGAACGATATGTTACTTTAGAGTGTATTTTATTTCAAGAAATCTTGAATGTTATGAGGAATATAAGACAGATGAACAAATGCTGCTCTTGGTGTATTCGTTCATTCTTCTCATTCCTTTGTCGCTATACTGCATTTTATTTTTACCTACTCTGTTTCAAATTTGTCATTTTTTTATCTTTTTCTAATGGATAACCAAATAAGTGTTATACAACGGCAAGAACTATCAGACACTAGTCTAATATTTTTCGATCTGGTATTACTATAAAAAGGTTTAATTAAAATTAGTGACACAACGTCCATAAGCTCCCTTTGTTAGTTCCAATCTGTTATGCGGTAATACATAGGAGTGGCCTCATATCAAAGACATGAGGGCATTTTTATAAAAGTTGGTTATGATAAAAAAATCATTACATTTTTTAAAAATTGGCTTTTTCTAAACTATTTAATAATGAGAAATGACTACGGAGTACCAAGTATATTATTTAAATACTGACCTTTTAGAGTACCATAGCATTTAATTACTGCTTCAGTTGATGTCAAAGGATTAACTGAAGTAGTGATCGAATCCCAAATAGTGATTCAATTTGAATAAAATACTTTGTACTTGGTACCCAGAGTAGTAGTTCGTGATACAGAGATCTTTTTATCGAATTATTAACATCCGGCTGAAACTTCGTAAATAGTTTCATCTCATCGCAACCTACAACTGTTTTATTTACAAAAACTCTTGGAATTGGAGAGCGTTTTCAATCTGGAGGGGAGCAAACTTTGTCAATTCAATTAGGTACTAAAAACTCGTAAATACCCATTTCCTTTCTACTTGGTCCGTAAGATAATTAGACCGTAAGACGAAATCGATGAAAAAAGTGGCCTTCAAAAATATTGAGCCGTATGGCGTGACCCCCAAATTTTCAAAATAACGAGGTTATATAGGACAAAAGGCCAATATTTTTGTAGGCCACCTTTTTTATCGATTTTGTGATCAAGCTATGTTACGATCCAAGTAGAAAGGATATGGGTATTTACGAGTTTTTAGTACCTAAATAAATAGACAAAGTTTGCCCCCATCCAGATTGAAAACGCCCCAATTCCAAGAGTTTTGGCATATAAAATAGTTGTAAGTTACGATGAGATGGAATTATTTACAAAGTTTCAGGCGGATGTTAATAACTCGATAAAAAGGGGTCTGTACTACGGACTATAGCATTTTCCCACCTCTTGTATAACAGGTTTAATTATTATGTTTTTTGTTTAATTTTAACTATTTTTAGGAAAAAACCTAGTTTTATAAGATATTATAAATATCTAAATAAGACAACACTGACTTCAATCAACTATTGAATTAAATCATTGATGTTGCTGTTTAGGAGGTTGTCATGGAGCTGCTGGCTGAGAAGATCAAGAAGGAAATGAACACTGCTAAAGGTTTCCTCATAGACGGCTACCCAAGGGAAGTCGAACAGGGCCGACAATTTGAAAAAGAGGTGAATTTTTTATTTTTATTTATTCATTATTTAAACATGGAATAAGTTTATTGCTATGAAATGACACGATTTATACCTTAGGCGTAGACTTTCCATTTTGTTTGAGAAGGGGAGGGTAGAGACGATAGATCCCCAAAAAAGTCTAGTTTATATTTATATATATATATATATATATATATATATATTTGAAAATACGTTAACAAAGCAATTAAAAAAAAAAATCTATTTTTATTTTTATTTCAAGGTTTTAGGCTGTGAGATGAACTCTTAGTTCTCCCATACTTCAAATTTTTCTTGAGAATTGTGATGAAATTTTCGCGTAAAATCGAAAAAGTAGTGTAGAATGGAAGAATTAGAAGAAGAAAGTGCACATGGATGAATCATAAAATCCTAGGATATGTTGCTACATATAATTATCTTTGAATATAAACCAAAATTTCAATAATAGGAATACAGGCCGTGATAAAATAGTTGCGTACTTAGTTCTATGTCTTGACTTAGGCATCAGGTCGATTTTTCTATATTCCTTAATTGATTTTTGCTTAGAAATTTTATTGAAACGTGTAGATTAAATATTATTGATTGTTACTCTTCAAAATATTGAGGGAAAGGAGAGTGGGGAGAGAGCGAAGCAATATTCTCGCCACTCTTCACACCTATATAGCGTACTTGGGATATATTGCTACCTACATCTACCTGTACAGGAAGTTTTCATTAGAACAGTAAATTCAATTTTAGTTCCCCTTCATTGTTGCTTTACCTGATCCAATCCATTGAGGATTCGAAAATTAATTTAACCCTAAATCCTTGATACCGATTTTTACAAACACATTTCAGAAATAACAGATATTTTCGAATACAAAAATAATAACAAATAGGATCGTTCATAGTCATGTTGGAACCTGCAGGGATGAATTATCTGTTCTTTCTGCAAATATGATGTCGACATTGAGAATGGGACTTTGTGTTAAAACTCTTAGGGGACTCGAAATAGAGCAAAATAAAAAAAAGAAAAAGAACTTATCTCTCAAGTAGATCTCAAGACTACGTCCTAATTGGCAAATCATCCCGCGATCGGTCGTCGACGATGAACTCTGAAACGGATGATGAAACATTTTGCAGCTGGATTTCTAAATTGAACTTCAACTGTTCAATTAGTACATTACTATATTCTTTTCTCTTTGATTTTCTCATCTTGCGACTTAGCATCCATCGCTGACATCAAATCATGTGATGCATATCCAATTAGGCCCTTGGCGAATGGAGAATTAGGTATTGAGGATAAGTCCTGCTTACGACAACTCTCCGAAGCAAACAATATTGGATGATTAGGAGACGAAAACATTGCCATGAAATTAACAATTATAATTTATTTAGTTCAAAGAATCAAGAGGGAGACAGTCAAATGATAAAGGATTTTAATATAATAACATATCGTCTATACTATTGAATTTGATAAATGAGTCATGGAAAACTATTGAATATGAAAATCAGCACACTAATATCATTATTAATTCAGCCCAAACAACGAGGATGTTTTAATTTCCACACTAATATCTGTCTTTATGAATATTTAAAGATTTTTTAATCGCTATTTAGAAATATTTAATTTCAATTACAATCTCTAGAAGGTAGGATTGAAAAAAATGGCAATTTTTCATATTAGATACTTTGCAATTGTACCGACGATTATTATTATCTACAAACATTGGTAGTGACTATTCATTTAGGGCATCATTGAATTGTATTGTTGAGGCCAAATCGACATTGAGTGATTTGTTGTATACATTTATTATTCCTTCTTAATATGAATTACGTCACATTTTTATTGAACTCTTAAATTGTATGTTGTACAGCTTTTGAATTATTTCCTCTTTTCCTAGATCGGCCAATGCGATCTTGTTCTTTACTTTGAGTGCAAGGACGAAACGCTGATAAGTCGACTCCTCCACAGAGCAGAAACATCAGGTAGAGAAGACGATAACGCAGAGACGATCAAGAAACGCCTCAATACCTTCCACTCACACAACGATCCCATCATTCAAGAGTTCGCATCAAAGACCAAAAGGGTAAGTTGGGCCCAATAATCTTATAAACAATTATTTATAATGTTGTTTTGTTTTTAAAGAGAAAAATTTGAAAATATTTTTTTAGAGCCGAAACATAAAAGTTTAGTTTTTGTTAAAAAGATGCTTTAATTGTAAAATAAAAATGTGTGAGATTAGAAGGGATTGTTTTGTACATTGGAGCATTTTCAATCTGGAAGGGAGCAAACTTTGTCAATTCAATTAGGTACTAAAAACTCGTAAATACCCATTTCCTTTCTACTTGGTCCGTAAGATAATTAGACCGTAAGACAAAATCGATGAAAAAAGTGGCCTTCAAAAATATTGAGCCGTATGGCGTGACCCCCAAAGTTTCAAAATAACGAGGTTATATAGGACAAAAGGCCAATATTTTTGTAGACCACCTTTTTTATCGATTTTTTTATCAAGCTATGTTACGATCCAAGTAAGAAGGAAATGGAAGGAACATTATATGTGGCATCAAGTAGAACACGTTCATTTAAAATATCGAAATTTATATTTCTAATGGCAATGGGCAAGGCTATGCACTAAACAATAACAGAACATTCAAAGAGAATATTGTTTACAGAGAAGTTCTGAATAAAAATGGATTTAAAGTGAATTGAAATTGCTAATTGAAATTTATTTTTTACTTGTTTAATCATAACATAAATTTATTGTGATAATAACACATATAAATTAAGTATTTTTGAATGAGTCTATTTCGTATTACTTCTAAATAATTTTTAAGTATTTAAGTAGTTCGATTTTTAATTTAAATTGAAATTTTGTTTATGTTAATGTATGAGGATTTTTGAATCGTGATTTCTCTTTATTTATTTAATTTATTTTTTATTTAATTATATGTTTTCCTCAAATTGTTAATGGCTATGGTCAAATTTCGACCACTGGGCGAACACTAGTTTAAATAATTAGGTATCAACATCCGTTTATTCCGAAAAATCGTCATGTAACCTTTTAGAAAATTAAATTAGTGAATACTTTGATGAATTTTCACTTTGTGAAATCCAAACATTATCCACTTAAAATTAGTGTGGCAACTTTTTAACTATTTATGGCAGGCTATGAGGATCTCGTAATTTAATTTTAGTAAACTTTAAAATAATTATATTGATTAAATATAATAGTTTTATAAAAATCTCACAAAAAAAATGAATAAGCAAATAAGACTGTTTATCATAAATAGAAATTAAGAAAAGCTTATCAATAATTTTTATTTTATATCAGTTATAATTTGTTTACAGTGATCGATTTCCTTCCATTTTAGCGCATAGAGCCCTAAATTTCTTATCATTTTTGTGTGGATCGGTGGAGCCGGTCTAAAAACAATTTTTGTGGTTGTTGTCAAGATTTTTTTTAGGGAGAAATATAGTTGATATTCGTTTTTCGCTCCTCAAAAAAACCTAAAATGAGAATTTTTATCGGAATCGAAAAATTAAAATTTTGTGTTCAAAATGTTTATCTAGACTCTATTTTGTTCACCTTTTCAAATGTTGAAGTGAGGTGTGCTATCACTGGTTTCTATGGTCTTGTTTTTTTCTATTCTTATCATGCCTGAGTTGGCTCTAACGTGGACTGGTTATTGGAAACTCAGCAGTCAGACAAAAAGATCCTAAAAAATATTGAAAATAAATGAATGTTTTCTGGAATTAGTGGCTAATTGGTAAATCACTTGCAGAATATGAAGCAACGTTTTCTATATTTGCAATGTTTCTTACAATAAAAACATTTCTGTAAATAATCCTAAAAGTTGTTAGTATATGAAATGTTAACTTATTATTACAGATTAATTTAAAATATTGGCCATGTTTCAGGTGGATGCTGAAGGAACAGTCGATGCTATCTTCGAACAAGTTGTATCCTCCATCGATGCCATCAGTAAATAAGATCTCGCCACTAGTTTTATATGAACACGTCTAAGTGCCAGTAGCTATACTTAACATTTTTACGAATTTAACACCAAAATGTGATTCTATCGAAAATCATTGTCGTTTTAGTCAAATTGAGCTCATGCGAATTTCAAATTATACAAACTACGCAGATGTTACACACAATCTAAACGTATAGTTATTCGGATAGATAATATGAACAAGCATTCTTTTGATGCATGTTTTTCTGATTAAAAATGATGATTGAAAAAAATCGATCAATTATTAAAATTTAATTTATTTAATAGATGCAAAAATTTCACACATGGTAAGTAGATCTTGTTCTTCATTAGTGTTGCCCAAATGCGAGACCGAGACGAGTCTTGGTCTTGCAAACTCACTTGCAAACTGATCATGATCTTGGTCTTGCGCAAGAGTCTCTCAACAGTCTTGCAGTTACTTATTAGCTTATTACTGTAATTTTTTTAGATAGGAGAAACCTAACTAAGCCCGATTGAAGAATTATAGGAGTTAAATGCAAAAGAATATTGGCTATACCAATTATTTACTTATATTAACTAGGCTAGGATTGTCAAGTATTAGTAACTATTTTGTCATAATTTTTATTTAAAAAATCGATTTGATTTTATCAGTCCTGGTCTTGGTTTTGGTCTTGCAACAGTTAGGCGACTTTGGTCTTGGTCTTGCAAAGTACAAGATCAAGACCAATTTCGGGCAACACTATTCTTCACGCAGATAATTTTGGCTTAAATTGTCTTAAAATATTTTTAATTGCTTAAAATACATAATAGAGATAAAAACGCTTAAGATTTGTGATAATAAATTACACTAATAAGTTTTGAATTGTTTATAGCATTATTTCAAATGATGTATTATTTAATAAATTATTTCTTATTAATCAAGATTAAATAGTTTACATTGAAGTTAAAAAATATCATTTTTTTTTCCTATTTCCCTCTCTGAATTTCAGAGGCGTAAATGAAGAAGCTGTTTATATTAGAGTTTTTAATATATAAATTCATATTGATATAGTATATAAATCAAACTTTATTTGAGTCCAAAACGAAACATCAGGCATTGATATAGAAGAAGAATTTTTTACTTTCACTTATCTGTATATGTAATATATAGTAAGGAAAATTATTGCCATCGTGAAAATTTTCGAATCTGAGTTTTCAACGGAAATACACGTTTTGAGGTACCCTGAGTCCAAATAACTAAGTCCCGCAAAATGGTGTTTGTGTGTGTGTGTGTGTGGGTGTGTGAACAGTCTAGCTCAAAAACGAAAAGTCGTACAAAACTGATATTAAATATTAAAGATAGGTATATGCCTCGATAAAATCGGCTAACCGGAAGTGTCACTTTATATCAATATTTATACTCATTTATACAATTTTCTCAAAAGTTACTCTAACGATTTTGATTAAACTCGGTGTATCATTGTTTTATTAAGTGGTGTTTAATATCATTGAGGTCGTATATCCATTGGTGTCACTTTACAGGGCAAAAATGCGTAAATGTTCAATATGTCTTCCTCTGAAGCATCTTTAATTTGGATTATTTTAAATAATTAACTATCTCTCATTGTTAGGAGTTACATAAATATGCTAAGTATAACTTCTGAAAGAATTTGATAATTAAAAAATGAAGAAAAAAAGGGAAAATGTTTATTGAAAAATGAATTTCCGGAAATACTAGTCAGAAGTTATAATTATAATATATCGTTGGAAAGCAGAGAATTTTAGAAAAAAACAATATATAATATAGAAGGTCGTAGAAAATAATGGAGTGTGACGAAAAATTATAAATAATTGTTTTTGAAAACTAATATTATTTAACGGAAATCACATGTTTTCAAGGAAATGAAATTTACTTTCAAGTTCGAAAAAAAATTTTTTTGACACAATACTTATATTCGACTTTCAAAGAACAACGTTCTTATTAATTGCTGCATTTGCTATGACCATAATCAAATTTCTGAGTCAAAGTTTTGGCAAAATGGGTGTATTACTGCGACGTCCAGTAATTTCGCATGGAAAATTATATGTGGCAGCAAGTAGAGCACGTTCATTTAAAATATCGAAATTTATATTTTCAATGGCAATGGGCATGGCAATGTACTAAACAATAACAGAACATTCAAAAAGAATATTGTTTGCAGAGTTCTGAATAAAAATGGATTTAAAGTGAATTGAAATTGCTAATTTAAATTTATTTTTTACTTGTTTAATCATAACATTAATTTATTGTGATAATAACACATATAAATTAAAATGGAAATTAAATATTTTTGAATGAGTCTATTTTGTATTACTTATAAATAATTTTAAATATTTAAGTAGTTCGATTTTTAATTGAAATTGAAATTTTGTTTATGTTAATATATGAGGATTTTTGAATCGTGATTTCTCTTTATTTATTTAATTTATTTTTTATTTAATTATATGTTTTCCTCAAATTGTTAATGGCTATGGTCGAATTTCGACCACTGGGCGAACACTAGTTTAAATAATTAGGGATCAACGTCCGTTTATTCCGAAAAACCGTCATGTAACCTTTTAGAAATTTTTTTTTTTTTTTTTATTTATTTAGACATATAATATTATGTCACAGGGACAATAATTATATTGATAAATTAACACATTCACACCGTTTAGAAAATTAAATTAGTGAATACTTTGATGAATTTTCACTTTGTGAAATCCAAACATTATCCACTTAAAATTAGTGTGGCAACTTTTTAACTATTTATGGCAGGCTATGAGGATCTCGTAATTTAATTTTAGTAAACTTTAAAATGGAAAAGAACGGTTTAATAATTAATAGGCGCACAATCCATAAACATTTATAGGTTGAATATATAGATATACTTTCAAATCTCTCTAGGCATATTTATATATATATATATATATATATATATATATATATATATATATATATATATATATATATATATATATATATATATATATATATATATATATATATATATAGACTGGAGTTATGTGTTTTACAAAAGCTTACGGAGTACCGAGGATTCCATTGTCTGCCGTTGATATAATTAATATGATTTTTCTGATGTTAATGGTTTGTTACATGTAATCTTTAAGCTATAGCTCCGTTAAAAGTACACTTCAAAAATTTTATAATTGCTCAACATGGTCAGAAAATAATTTCTACTTAATTCAAAATAGAGAGGTAAGTGAAAGTTGTTTGTTGTGTGCACCAGATTTTTCTTTTTTAGTATTATTCAAATTACACATCTAATACGAGGTGTGACTATTAAATAACGAGATTGATATTGGAAAACGTTTTATTTGTATTTCACCCACATTTACATATTATCACCTTCAAGATGCATCCTTCCTCCATCTTCTACCTTCCTGCATCCTTTATCCATGCCCAGGGATATTAAATGCCTGTGGCAAGGCAAAGGAGGACATTTCTAGTAATTTCTTTTTTGTTTTACTCTCTATTGATATACATTTTATTTTCTAATAAAGTTTTCGAAAAAAATAATGTTTCTGTTAAATAAATCTGTATATATTTCCTTGTTGCAATATTTATGACAGGACTAGGTACGCTCTGCACGTAAATTACTTCAATCATACTACCCCTTCATGTAAAAACTATTAGGTAACTATTATAATACGCCCAATAACAGTAGATATAAATTGGTTAACTTCTAGATATGTCACATGGAATGTGTACGCTATTATTCCAAAATCCTTACAATATGGTAAGCTCAGAATAGGCAACTTTTGAAGAGAATTATTACCTGTCAAATCATTATTTACATGTTACAATTAAAATAATAAATGGACAACCTTAAAATACTATCTGTTTTGAATTTATCTCACAATTATAGCAGCAATCGACTTTTTGGACGTTTAACCGCAATCGATCCCGATTCTGCCATGACAGGCTCTATCCCAAATTCTCAAACTGAAACCCACTGGTTTCTCACTTAGCCTTCCGTTCGATTTCCTGCAACTAGTGTTGCCCAAATGCGAGACCCAGACGAGTCTTGGTCTTGTAAACTCAGTTTGGTCATGGTCTTGGTCTCGCAACAGTCTTACAGTACTGTATTTTGTAGATAGGAGAAACCTAACTAAACCTGAATGAAAAATTAGAGGAATTAAATGCAAAACTATATTGGTTATACCAATTATTTACATATAGTAACTAAGATTGTCGAGTATTAGTAACTATTTTGCCTTAATTTTTTATTAAAAACATCGATTTTTTTTACCAGTCCTGGTCTTGGTCTTGCAACAGTTAGGCGGCCTTGGTCTTGGTCTTGCAAAGTGCAAGACCAAGACCGATTTCGGGCAACACTACCTGCAACCCACTAAGATTATTAAGAAATTAAGACTAACTAAGAAAGAAGAGGACTTCAGGACCAGGAATAGAACTTCCATTGGAGTATTGTTTATAGTAGTTTCATCACAAGATTTACTTATAGTATTTTTCAATTTGTGGGAGTTGGAAATTTTAAAAAATAAATAAATACAATTTTTCAAGTACCTATTTTATACAATAAGATATATAAGATGAGTTTATTTACACAATGAAATTTTCAAAGATGAAAAAAAATAACCTTAAATAAATGTTATATTTAAAATTTTTAATTTATTTCTTAAAACTATTTTATTTATTTATTCACCTTACGGTACCTTTCAGCTATACTGGTTTTTGCAGTGGTCCCATGTGTATGCCTTCTCTGCTATTAAATATATAAAGTACGTAACATATTTGTTAGTGGGCTTCAGGAAGAACAGACATCCATGAAGATAGCCTTCATCTACTTCAAGAGAACTTCCAGGATCCAAGTGTGCCGGGCCCACAATTTCTTTATATCATTGAGAAAAACTATTATAGAGTTAGTTTGTACTTTAGTCTGTATAAATTTAAAAAAAAATATAAGCTAAAAGATTTTTTCCATTCCTATAAAACAGCTTAATAATAAAATTTACGTATTTAATAATAATACGTATAACTTCATGAATGAATGAACACGTATCAAAAGCTCATAGGGTGCTTTAGAAAGAATGAGACATCTAATAGATGAATTAAGTAAAATTAATCCTCAACACAAACGACGGACTTCATAAATATAAATTATCTCAAACCAGCATAGGATTCAGGGTTTTTGAGTTTACCAAGCCTGATCCAGACCTGAAGAAGAAAAAATCTCAAATACTCACTCATATCCTTAATCCAACCAACCTTGAGTTTATTGAAGCAGAATAGGATATCCCGCTCCAATTGACTCCACCTAAAGCATTTCATCCTTCAGAAATATCCAATGTCATTCATAGATTACCTTCTCGCAAAGCTCCTGGCCATGACCTAATCATATCCCAGATCATAAAACAGCTTCCTCAGAAAGCCATACTATACCTCACCTATATTTATAATGCTATACTCCGAAACACATATTTTCCTGACCCTTGGAAACTATCCATTGTCAAAATGACACCTAAGCCCATAAAGCCGCCAGAACATCCATCCTCTTACCGTCCTATCTCTCTTTTATCTATTATGGGAAAAATTCTGGAAAAAGTTATCTTAAAATGCCTGAATCCCATCCTAGAATCTA